ATGAGGGTATGAGTGATTTCTTTCAATGTTGGGGGTGTACTCAAGCGCTCACGGCAACGCTTCAACACAGAAATCTGTGCACTGTCCACATCCATCAGCATCTGCCGTATTAGAGTTTGGAGGATTGCGGTGGCTGTCTGTTGCTTGCCCGCGGCAAAATCACAGAAATAGTAGATCACGCTCGAGGCTGTGGCATGTTGAGAAAGATCTTGAAGGATGATAGAGCTGGGGATGTCAGTATCAATAGCATAAGGAACATTACAATCGGACTTACGATAACATAGATTTTCCAACACCCGCTGCATAACATTATAAGTTGTGAATCAGATGGTTAAAAATGGTGGTCTTACGGTTCCCGTGGCACCATAGGACTGATGGAGCCCCCGTATGCCATTGCACATATGCATTTGATTCAAGGAACCATTTCCCCGTGCCTGGACACGGTGGTTCGGTGGGAGGGCCGTGGTGAAGGGGATGAGGAGGGCAAAATAATCCCACTAGATGACGGTGATCTCTCTCTGAATGGCTCATGGATTCAGTGACACACAAATGAGCCAATTAGTTCACAGTACCTTGGCTTAACATGTCCAACTTTGTATATGAGACTGTGGAAAGTGCTCTGGACCAAGGGGTAAGGAAAGCCATATGAAAGGGAAAGTCGCAGAGCAGTATGACTCACAAAGTCCTAGCTGACACATAGTCAGCAAAGATGCTACGAAAACGGTGTAGCATTTCAATGTGCTTCTTCATCTGTTGCTCTTCGAGTGGCCATGTGAGCGATGACTTCAGGCGAGTGAGGCTGCCGGAACTGGTGGCTGCACGAGCTTCAAGATTGTTCTTCAACGAAGACAAATGATTATGAAAGTCCTCCAGGACTTCAGCTGAGAGGCTAGCAGGCCGAGGTGCAGATGGGTCAAGGTGTTCCGCATCGACAGCGGCAGTCTCTGCATGTAGGAGAGTATCCGTAAGTGCGGACAGCTCAGCCAAGTACTGGCTACGCATGTGTTTTGCATCGCGCACATCGGACAGATACCCATAGCTGATGCTTGTAATTTGTGCAGCGAGGGCAACAAGACCTGCGATAGCGGATGCGAATCCGACCACTTCAGCCATTGGGCAGCAGTATCGGGGGTGGGTTTGTGAAGGCCATATTCCAGGCTCTTTAAAGCTGTCCGGAAACGATGCCACGCCTGTCGCAACGGAGTGTTGCCATCCTGCGACGTAGATGAAGATTCAAATGTGTCTAAATAAAGATTGGTCATAATCACTGCTTTTACTTTCAGTGCTGCTACCTACCTCTCCACACGGGGACCTAGATCTCAAGGAAATGGTTCTGTTGTGGTTCACCCCATGCTTCACATCACCCTTTGGAAGAAATTATGTATGTCTATGTTAAACCTTCTAATCTCATCATCTGCTGAACTTTCCATCATTGTTAAGCTATTCTGATCTCTTTTATCACTGCCACTCAACAGCTTTATTTTCAACCATAACAGCTTTATTTACGCTCTTGTGCCCCATTGAGCATCCCCCCAACCAAAGTGGTGGCGTCTTATCTCTCTCTCTTTATAAAATTACACCTGTCCGTCCGTCCGAAGCCTTTTAAACTCCGTTGACGGCATCAGACTGTGTTGCCGCCCTCCGCAGCGGATGGATGAAATTGAACTTAGTTGAATATCACTTCCCTGGTTGAATTTCTCTCTCGGGACGCGAGGCCCGAGGGTGTAGTCCAACACAGGTGTTAGGAGCTAAGTCCACGGTCCGCGCCAAGCTTCAGCCAATGTGTGATTATTTACTTATTTGATACGGTGGATTCGGACTTTGAAACAACTATATCAATGCCTTGGAACCGTAAATAAACTATGAATATACTTGGACTCCAGAACAAATTGTGATGCAGCTCAGCATCAACCAAAAAAGTAAGAACAGGACTTCCCAAGATCCCAAGGACTCGAGCCGGAATCAAACCGGTGCCTTCCCCTTGAGACAAGTGAAGTGAAGGGGACACACACCATGTGTCTTTGAGTCTTGCTTCACATTGTATACTCTTCATTGGGGTTATGGCAAATTTCATTGGTCCCATGCTTCTGTAACTGCCAGGCCTTCCGGTAAACAATGTTGGAAATTCTTGCTAGGAATCGCAACGTAACAATAGTTGGGATAGTATGAATAGCAGGCGAGGATGACCTGTAAATGAAGAAAATACAGACCAACCCAAAAAGAAAACCTTGGAGAGGAAACACAGGACTCGAGCCAGAGTCGAACCGGTGTCTTGCGCTTGCAACTGTGGCCATGGACCGCACGGAGCGGTAGCGGATGTGCCCCGTGCGCGTCGAGTCTTGTACTCCTTCTGTTGACTCCACTGATGTTCCTAGTTTAGACCCTTCACAAAGGTGGCTACAACAATCGTGAACGGTGATGAATTCCGCAGGAACACCAGCAAGCCATTCCAAGGTCTTAGGAGAAAAATCCCAAGGAGGCAGGTTGATATGAGAAAGGTATGCATGTCCAACCAAAGAGAAAATGCATCCAAACGGAAAAAGAGCTTCGTATGAACGCAAGGACTCCAGCCGGAGTCGAACCGGCGGCGTCTCCCTGATCTTCGATATCCCAGCCGCAAGCGAAGCGGATGCACACCGTGCGCTTCGAGTCTTGCTCTCCCCTACATTAATTCCATCCATCCACCTCCATAGATTGGAAGCTACCAAAACTGCTGACCCCAGCCGATGGAAGAAATGTTGAACTTTGGTTGAGCCTTCTGATGCAGATCCCAAAAAGATTCATCCTCATGCAGGACTCAAGCCGGACTAGTGGCACGGCACGCGCACCGTGCGCCTTCGAGTGTTCTTTCAGAGTGATTGTAGACTCACCGTAGGGGTGGATCCCATTAATTGTGCTCAATCCGTTAGCCGTGCTTCTGTTCAAGTTTTCACTGTGTCGTTTGACTCTTCAAGCAGAGACATGGGGTAAACAATGTGGGGTCGAAAATCAATTCGGAATATAGCCCCAAAACAAAGTAATCCCCAAAAAATAATCGACAGCAACGCCATGGGACTCGGCGGAATCGAACCGCCATCTTTCATCTAGATTTAGCTCCGAAGGACGATTTCAAGTGAAGCGGAGTACAACATGCACTTCGAGTCTTCCTGTATTCCTGCTACAACTGGCAATATCTACACCGTGATTTTCCACCCTCACCGAGAACAGAACAAATGAGCTGAAGTTGAACATTGAATATCAAACCTACCTAAGAGGGTAACCCCAGGGACAGGTTCAGGATACATCAGCAAACCCAGGGTTTTACCATAGTTGACTGTAGTCATCTGTAGTTGCCATAGTTACAGGCCTGTCTCGTAGCGCCCCGTAGCGCTACCTAGTTCCCGGGCATCTATGTAGCTCTACGTAGATTGGGGGTCTTCTATGTAGCGCTGTGTAGATGAGGCATTCTATGTAGCTCTATGTAGTTTCGTGCCTTCGTTGTAGAGCTGGGTAGTTTGGGCCTCCGCTACGTAGGGCAGCCGCTTGCAGGTGTCTATGCCTGATGTTAGCATTACGTCTTGTAGACGCACAAGCCAAGACATTATCTCTTGGCCTACTTTGTGTTAGGGAACAGAAATGAACGGGAAATTACTGCTCACCCTCGAGATCGCTTTTAGGCCATTCCCACGGCAATTCTGCAGAATCAAATCTGACAACCGAAACAGAATGCAGGCGAGAATCCTGACTTGATCCTGACCGATTCTCGAGAATCACTGATTCTAGTCCCGATTCTTGACAAAGAATCGGTACTCAGAAGCGGCCTTCGATTTCAGCTTTGACTTCCCTTATTATGAACAGGTGGATTAGATTTAGGTCTGCACAGGTCTCCTAAATTCACATTTGGCTGATTTTGAAGCACTTCTGCTGCTGTGTGAATGGTGATAAGAGGCCAAAAAAAAAAAAAGAGAAAAAAAAAAAAATGTCACAAATGTGTTACAAGCCACCTGCTTTGTCACACCGTGGACACACTGGAGGTTGTCCACGGTGTGACAAAGTCAAGTGACTTTGTACATGCAAGAGTCACACCTCACTTGTACCCAATATACTTGAATTTTAGGAAGGAAATTCATTTCAGATCACAGTAGAGGAGACACCGGCCGCCTGGACCTCGAGGGTTTAGTATAGAGTTGAAGAATTACTGACCTGGACATGGCGCAATACCAGATTGTGTAACTGGGGCCAACATATTTCATGGTCTCTTAGTCTACTTGGTAGTTGCCTCTTCCGTGTCTTTTGTCCGTAAGCGCGAGGTCGTGAGTTCGAACCCGCCCAAAAACAATGTATTAAATAGATAGATAATTAATAGCTATTCATGTCGTTCAGCGCTACTACTAAAACATTGCCTTAGAATACAATTGAAAGACAGCATCCAAGTGAAAGGTATTGAAACTGAAAGGATCAAATTAAGACTTTTCTTGAGTAGTACACCTCAGCTACATAGCACTACATAGTAGCCCCCCCAACTACATAGCGCTACGTAGCAACCACCTCAACTACATAGTGCTACGTAACCGGGACCTAACTACAGTCGCTACAGTAGCTACAGGCCCTACGTAGCGCTACGTAGCCGACCCAGGGTTTGCTGATGTAATAGCGCCGCTCACCGTGAGCGCCAAACCCACAATGCTTGACTACAGTAGTAGTGTTGTAAGGACTTGAGCCGGAGTCGAACCGGCACCTTCCGCTTACAGTATACACAGGAGCGCCTTGTCCCAGCGAAGCGGACGCACACCATGCGCCTCGAGTCCTGTTTACCACGTAGTCGAGGTTCACTATATCCGTCAGCTGGACCCAGTGGTCGTTGTTCTTTGGTTTTTACTCAGCTACCAGTGAGTGAGGTTTCAAAAACAACATTGAACCATTGACAGGAAGTGCAACATACTATTATCGTGATAGTGTATATGAGGGTGACCTGTGAATGAAGAAAGCACAGACCAAAAAAAAATCTTCGATAAAGCGCAGGACTCGAGCCGGAGTCGAACCGACGTGCTCCGCCTGAACAGTACTAAATGCAGAAGCTCTAATTTATAGCGGATGCGCACCCTGCGCCTTCGAGTCTTTCTTACCTCTCCTAAACCCCTCTTGACACTACGGCAGAACTGACGGTGCGTGCTGAGCTGAAGTCAATGCGTGAGTATTTATTTGCAATTGGACCACAACAATACATCAGGAACTGCGAGATCTAAGTACTCGAGCCAGAATCGAACCGGCGTGCTCCGCCTGAACAGCGCTATATCCGACTAATTGTAGCGGATGTGCACCCTGCGCCTTGAGTCTTCCTTGCCAGAGCCCTCCTCACACCAAAGTACAACCAGCAATTGATCGTCCAAATGAGGCACAGAGGGTGTCAAAAATTGGCTATACTCGAGTACTCCCATGTTGAACTTGCATGCAAATGAGGTGACTGTTAAGCGCCCTGTGACTGATAGTTGAACATCATCCAATGCAACAGGAAATGTGAAGGCAAGGCAAGGTCCCAACAATAATTGGCCTTCGTGCTACAATGTACCCGCCGTAACCAACAAAAGACTTAAGCGGACATGGGTCCTTTCAAGGCTCGAGCCGGAGTCGAACCAGCATGCTCCACACATTCTGCACATTGCTAGTATTTGCTGCACCAGCAACCGTGGATGCACACCGTGCGCCTTCGCCCCAAAAGAAAACTGTCTTTTCGCGTCCCAAGACTCGAGCCGGAGTCGAACCGGCGACTTGCGCTTGATGAAGCATGGTGGAGGCACTCAAGTGAAGCGGACACGCACCGTGCGCTTCGAGCCTTCTTCCTCTCCCGTCCTAAATCCCTCTTGACACTGTAGTAGAAACTGACAGTCCGCGCCGAGCTTCAGCTGATGTGCGATTATCTTTCTGATTCGAGGCATTCGGACTGTTTTGGACAATAAAACATCAGGGACTGCGAGGGATCTACTAGATGCGAAGACCAATTAATGCAGTTCAGGAGTGTTACCCAAAAAAGAAAGAGTCCAGGACCCGAAAGACTCGAGCCGGAGTCCAACCGGCGCCTTCCGCCTGAATAGTGGTGATTCAAGTCACCGTTATAGCAGCAGCGGATGTGCACCCTGCGCCGTCGAATCTTGCTTCACATCGCATGAAACTCTCCATTTGTGGTGGTTGGACTTGAATTTCATTGGTTCGAGTCGTGCTCCGATTGCTAAGTAGTTGCCAGTGAGGAATTCAGGATTCAAGTACAGTTGTTCCCCGGAAATACCCCCAGTGATGGTGAGGATATTATATATAGTAGGCAATTCAGCCGTTGAGCTGTAAATGAAGCAAGCACAGGCCTAGAAAGACAGAAAAAGTTCTCCTTTCGACGAGACCAAGGACTCGAGCCGGAGTCGAACCGGCGGCTTCCGCTCCGTGGATATCGCAAGCGCCTAACTACAGCGGACACGCACCATGCGCCTCGAGTCTTCCTTCCTCCTCGGTGTATCCCGCTTACCCGCCCTCATTTTTTGCCCTAACGTCTTCCCCGCGATTGCGAACTTCAACGGCCCGGCCCCCCGCGCAGACATCCGCTCTGATCCGCCCGCTGGCGATCGCCGATCGGTAGTCGCCAATCAATAATCGCGTTGCCTAGGTTGCGTCATCTCTTTCTCTTTCATTCTCGTTTCTCTCACCACCGCGCGTCCTAACACTCGACCCAACCAACCATCCTCGCTTCCACCAGTGTAATCAGTGCACAATCCCCACCGGAAACGCGGCCCGCCTCTCCCCAACAACTTCTCATCACACGACCCTGCCACCGCGCTGCTGCAATCTAGATCTCTCACCACCACTCGAATCACTTGAATCTAGCAGAGGAATTTAGAGGAACAAAATGGCCTCCCCGCCCTGGCACTACGTCCTCAAATTCATCATCACCGGCGACGCCGCAGTCGGCAAGTCCTCTCTCCTCGTCCGTCTTACCGACCAGCGCTTTTTGGCCAATCCGGATCCGACAGTGCGTATTTACTTTACTATTCTCCAGCGGCGTACTGCTGCCAACGCCGTCGAGTCAGGCCGTGGCAACGCGCCCTCCGTCTCACTCCAAAAAACCAAAGGATTAACGCTGATGCTAATACCCTATTTCTCCCAGCTCGGCGTCGAATTCGGCTCGAAACTAATCACCCTCCCCGGGCCCGAGCCCACCGTCGTCAAGCTGCAGTGCTGGGACACCGCCGGCACGGAGAGCTTCCGCAGTATTACGAGGAGCTATTATCGGGGCGCCGCGGGTGAGTGTTGCTCGTTTTCTTTTTTTCTTTCGCCATATGCTGCGGGACGCTGTGCCCGTGCCGATGCATCGTCGGTGCATGCCCACAGACTTGCTCGTTTCTTGGGATGTTCGGGGTGCAGCGGCCAGACCGTCCTCACCGCGGGACATCCGCATCGCACCGTGCGCAGCCGTCGTCCGCGATCGGTCGTCCAGACGTATTACTTGTCTTGGTGCTGCCAACGGCCGTACATTCTGCTGGACGGAGATCGACCTTACCTTCTGGTACCGTATTCCGGGGCCACGGGCGGTCGGTGCAAACGTGCAGGCATGCGCGTACCTCGCTCGATCTCGGCGGCGTCCATCGCGCTCTGCGTTGGGTTGCATTGGGGTACACCCACAGACTCACTTTCGTTCGCCCGTCCGTTCGATTTATGCTCGCGGCATGTGCGTCGCGATCGAGTCTATAAACCCATCTTAATCTCGTATGCATAACGCGATCGTTGACCAGCCTCCTTTTTCCCAGGCGCCCTCCTAGTCTACTCAATCACCTCCCTCCGCTCCTTCCAGTCCATCCGCACCTGGCTCGCCGACGTGCGCGCCCACGCGGATGCCCATGTGAGCTGCGTGTTGGTGGGGAATAAACGGGATTTGGCTGAAGGCGAAGGTCAGTCAGTGCGCGCATCCCATCGCACTCTTGTTTTTTGGTTTTTTTTTCATTCGTGGGGCGGACGCGGGACGGACTTGCTGGAGGGGGATGGGGATGGGGATGGAGGGGGACGTGTGTTACGCCGTTGGTGGGGGTGCGGTGGAGATAGCATCATCGCGCGCGTGTACGGTCGTGCACATTCGTGTTCGTGTTCGTGTGCGGATTCGCGTGCGGCAGTTCCAGGCCGGAGGATGGCGCTGCGCCCGAGGTGCTTGTACGTGCGCGGCTGCCCACGGAGGATGTGGCGGTGCCTGAGGTACCTGTGTACGTGCCGATTGCGTGCGTACGCGAGTCGCGAGTCGGCGGACACAGATATCGGACTCGATGTCGATGCGGACGTGCGAGTCAAGGGTGGAGCGTGTACGCGCTGCGCTGCAAGACGTGCGCTACGTCGATGGAGGTCGGCGGGCGGGGACGTCGGTGGGGATGCCGCGCAAGCAGGTGCCGGACCGGACTCGATGGAGGTGGACGGTGCCGGGCTCGATGGACGCAGGCCCAGGCCCCAAGAGTCGCAGTCGGCGGTGCGATGCGCGCGCTGCGGGGCGGCGGCCCACGGAGGATGGTGGCGCAGATGCGAGGTGCTTGTGTACGTCCCGATTGTGGTGGGCGGGCCCGAATGACGGTGCAGATGTGAGATGTGGCTGCCCCCGAGGTGCCTGTGTACGCGAGTCGGCGGCTTGGGCGGACGCAGGCGCCGGACTGGATGAAGGTGGACACAGGTGGGAGGTGGATGTAGATGGAGGTGCGTGGAGGATACGTATCGCCTGCGACACGGACTCGGTCGGGAGCACGTGTACGGTGGTGCGGACACGGACGCGCATTCGTTTATGACGTGCTGGGCTGCGCTGGGGTCGTACGTGCTTGTCGGTGGGCGGACACCGTACGGAAGTCGTGAGTCGCGGTCGGCGGCTTCGGCGGACGCAGTTGCCGGACTCGATGGAGGTGGACGTGGTGTGGAGGTACGCCGTGGAGGTGCGGACTCGATGAAGGTGAACGGTGTCGACGTGGATGGAGGTGCAGATGTGGCAGCTTGGGCGGACGCAGGTGACGCACTCCATGGTGCCGGACTCGATGCGCCCGCTGCAAGACGTGCGGTCGTTGGTGGAGGGGGGGAAGGGGGGTGTGCACCCTCGCGAGCCGGGATGAGGGGCGGTCCGTTGGCCAAGAGCTGGACGTCGAGGTAGTGCGCGCGGGCGCCGTCGCGGTGGACGGTGCAAATGTAGCGGGGTCTGACGTGGCGCGCGCGAGTCGAAGATGGATCGAGGCGATCGGACGTCGCGGCGGCGGTCTCGTGCGGTGGTGTTACTCTACTGCGACGGTGGGCTCGCGCGCGGAAGTCGGGATGGTGGTGCGGCGAAGCGGACATGGTGGGCGGCGTGCGGGACGCGGACGTGCGTAGTGGAGATGCGGATACGAGGCGCCGGCGTCGGCGGTGCGGCTGTGGTCGGGTGCCCGACGTAGACTTGCGGCAGACGATCGTACGGACTTTGTGTCCCATGCACGCGCGTAGGCGCGCGCCCGTAGGTAGCGTCTGGGGACGGCGGCACCTACTCCATTGGGCGTGGGCTCGCTCGCTGGCTGGCGCGAATGAGGCTGGCCTCGGTGGAATCGGTCGGTGGCGTCGCTGGCCCCTGTGGAGGACGTATGGAGTGGTGGACCTTACAGAATACCGCGCTCCTGCGGCGGACGTCGTGCGTGGTGTGAACGGTGCGGAAGCAACGCGCGACGGTGCAGATGGTCGGCGTTGTGGTAAACGCGCGGATGCGGATGCGAAGGAGTTGTGTACGCGGATGGTGTACGCTGGTGGTGTGCGCAATGGCGGGGCAGTGGAGTCCCTACTGCGGGCGACGCCGCCGCTTGTGGACGGGGTGGTGGAAGAGGAAGAGGCTCCTTTGCCTCATGCTCTGACAGATGTCGCGGCGGCGGTGGTGCGATCGCCGTACTGGATGTCGCGGCGGTGGTGCGGCGGTGTGGTGGGCGTGCTGGATCTCGTTTAGGACCGCGGACGTGCTCGTGCTTGTCCGCACCGTCTCGTCTTGTCTTTTTTCTCGTCTTCCTTCTCCTCGTCTTATTCCTATCTTTGTCCCTTCATTGTCTCTATATTCATTCCCCACCCCCTCCCTCCCCCTCCCATGCTCTTACTGA